CATGATCCGAATTCTACCTTGCAAGTCTGGCTAGACCAGAGGATGTACACTGGTACAGATAGCAACTGGGAACACGGGGAATCCAGGAGGATGATCCCTTCAGGATGAGTGGTGATACTGGGAGGGTAGAGGGAGAGTGGGTTGGAAAGAGGGAACCGATTACAAGGATCTACATGTGACCTCCTCCCTGGGGGCCAGACAACAGAAAAGTGGGTGAAGGGGGTAAAATGAGGAGATGATGCCAGGGGCTTACTGGCGAGCAAATGTTTTGAGAATGATGAGGGCAATGAATGTACAAATGTGCTTGATGTATGATTTTAAAGAAGAAAGAAGACAAGTTTTCTGTAAATCCGTTCTGATCAAATAAAGCGTTTTCTTGTGGGAGAAGGGGGTGGGAAATGGGAGAAGACAGGAGAGCTTGGGAAGGCGGGGCCGGGCCCGCCCCCAACGTGGCCGGAAGTGAGCGCTCTCGGCCCCTCCCCCGAGAGGGTGGCCGCCCAAAGTGGGAGGAGTCTCGCCCGGCGCAAAGATGGAGGCCGGGGCGCGGGAGGAAGCGGACGCGGCGGCGGCGGCGGCGCGGTGACGCTTTACGGCGGCCGCGCGGTGACGCTTTACGGCGGCAAGCCCGAGGGCTGGAGGGGCGGCGCGGCTCCGGGCATGAAGCTGGGCCGGGCGGCGCTGGGCCTCCTGCTCCTGGCGCCTTGGACGGTGCGGGCGGTGGAGCCCATCAGCCTGGGCCTGGCCCTGGCCGGCGTCCTCACCGGCTACATCTCCTACCCGCGCCTCTACTGCCTCTTCGCCGAGTGCTGCGGCCAAAAGCGGGCTCTCAGCCGCGAAGGTAGGGCCCGCCACAGCCCGGGGGCCCGGCCTGGTCGCTTGGCTGGGCTGTCAGACACGCGCGGGGCCTGGCACGGGGGGACCAGAAGCCTGGGCAGAACCGGAGCTGCCAGGGCTCGGATGCAGTCATCTGAGTGCCCGGGCCGTCGCGGGTGGCTTGGCTCCCTGACCGCGGACTTTGGCCCCGGAGCCTGGAGCCGCAGCCCGCGCCGCTCCCCGCAGAAGCTGGGGGCATGCACTGCGCTGCCCACTTGCTCGCCGAGCGTTGAGCCCCCATCCTGGCTGGGGACAGGAAGCTTGGCGGGGACTCTTCCGGAGTAGGTGGCTCGTGGTTCCCCGGCAGCCCTTCTCTTGCCCAGCCGTGGAGTGGGAGGAGCTGAGCAGGACCTAGGGATGTCAACAGGTAGCAATAAAGCCCAAGGACCGTTTTAGTCTTCCCACGGCTCAGGGCATTCGAAGGGACAGGACCAGGAAAGGCAGACTGGAAGCCTGGTGGTGTGGTGGTTGCGGCGTCGGGCCGCGATCCTCATGATCGGCTGTTGGAAACCGCCAGCAGCTCCGCGGGAGAAAGACGGGGCTTTCTACTCCTGTCGACAGTTAGTCTGGGGGCGGGGCGCTGTGAGTCACCATTGACTTGATCAAGGCACCGAGCAAAGGAAGAGCAGGAACCCACAGTTCCCCTTTGGGACAGTTACTCCCAGCCCGCCTTGTGTCAACATTTCACAAGTGCTTGAGGAAGTTAGATGGCCTTGCCGAGTTTCACCTGGGCCTGTAAACGTGGCCAAGTTTTACCAGCTGTTTCTTCTGCTTCTTACTGGCTTTGCTTTTCCCCAGCGCTGCAGAAGGACCTGGACAGCAAGCTCTTCGGGCAGCATCTCGCCAAGAAAATCCTCCTGAATGCTGTGTTTGGCTTCATAAGCAACCCAAAGCCCAAGAAACCCCTCACCCTCTCTCTGCACGGCTGGACTGGCACTGGCAAAAATTTTGTCAGCAAAATCATTGCGGAGAATATTTATGAGGGTGGCCTGCACAGCAACTACGTCCACCTGTTTGTGGCCACCCTGCACTTCCCGCACGCTTCGAACATTACCCTGTACAAGGCAAGGCCAGAATTTTGGACTCCGTCCTGGATGACGCTGGATTTGGGGTGTCTTTGGTTGTGGAATGGGATTTGGGCCTCCCGGTGGAAATTAGTGTGAACTTGAAGAGGCTAAATGTGTCAGTTCCCTTTAGAATCGTCTAGAGCAGCGGTTCTCAACCTGTGGGTTTCGACCCCTTTGGGGGTGGAACGACTTTCACAGGGGTCGCCCAATGCATAACCGTAGCAAAAATAGTTATGAAGGAGCAACAAAAACAACTTTATGGTTAGGGGGGTCACCACCACATGAGGAACTGTATGAAAGGGTCGCGGCATCAGGAAGGTTGAGAACTGCTGGTCTAGAGGTTGGAGTGTGTGACAGCCTTGGTACCATTTTACCAGCAAACCTTTGCCATGGTTTCTGAAAACAGGCCCAGGGACGCCCGGTTTAGTAAGTGGGGTCACAGAATTCCAGAGAGAGACCTAATCAGATCCAACTTAAAGATGGCCACATCGAACTCATTTTATGGCTGGGGACATGTTTCTAGGGAGACTCGATGTGTTTTAAGTTACTGTTACAAATTGGTTCACGGTTGCACTCACTCATGAACAGCCCTGAGCATTGGCAACAGACACCTGGATTCGAGCCCCCTAATCATTCACCGCCAGCTGTGCCATCCTGGGAAAGTCAGTAGATCTTCACGTGAAGTGCCTAATAGGGTGCCTGGTGCATTCACCTTCAAAGACGTGTCAATACTGCTGTTTAAGGAGCCCTGGTGGGTGCGGTGGGCAAAAGGGCTTGGCTGCTCACAAGAAAGGTCTGGGGGAAAGACCAGGCACTTGCCCTCCCAGGGTGCCAGACTGTTGGCTCTAAAACTGGTTAATTGCCAGGAGGAACGAGATGAGTTAGCCACTGTAGTCAGCACTCAGGCTCCTTAACCTTGCTGTGCCTCCATTTCCGCACCGACATAACGGGGGTTGGATTCACCCATGACATGCTCAACTACCAGCCAGAGACTGGCTCAAGCTCCCTCACCTCCTACCCCCAGAGGCACCTCTGTGGATAGACTTCAGGAGCCCTGGTGGTGCCAAGGCCCAGTAGGAACATCATGAGATAGTCCAGGCTACAAGAGAACCCTGGGGGCATAGTGGTTACGCGTTGGGCTCTTAATGGGGAGGCCAGCAGTTCAAAACCACCAGCTGCTCCCAGGGAGAAAGGAAGCATTCTACTCCCAGAGTTAGATCTCAGAAACCCATGGAGGCAGTTCCACCCTGCCCTATTGTGAGTCAGAATTGATTCGATGGCAGTGAGTTTAGAGTTTACATTATGCCATATAAACTCGTGTATAAGATGAGTTTTTAATGCAATTTTTGTAGTAAAATTAGGTGCCTCGGCTGATATTCAGGTCGGCTTATACTCGAGTATATACAGGGTAACCACTTTGATGGGCTTGGGAAGGTCACAGTGAAATACCATGCTTAGGGTTTGCCTCCCTCCTGCTTAGTGCGGGTGCTTGGTTTGTTGCTTGTAAGTCCAGGTAGCAGAGTGGGATAGATAGCCTTGAGTGTTAGAACCTAACTTATCGGGGTGAAGTCAAGCTTCCGTAGTTCATTCGGATATGTGGCCTCCAGCTAACTCTTAGCACCGTCAAGCAGAGTCAGACCAGAGCAACTATTGCCATTAGATACACGTGTGAAACATTGTTACCTTGATCACAGTAGCCAAGTCAGAGTAATGAGACCGGGTACCTGCCAGAGTTCTTCCTGGGGGGTGAGCTAGCCTTGCCTTCTCTTATCACTATTAAGCCAACCACTTGGGAAAGCTTTATACAGCTCCACAGTGCAACTTTATGATCCGATGGCTTCAGGGGCCTCTAACCTCAATTGCTTAGTATTCCGAAAACCACATAAGCACATTTCTGGTTGGTCATTTTTCCAGAAATTCAAGTGCCGCCTGAGCAAACATCTAGAGCACATGGGCACTGGAGTCAGCACCTCACTGCATTGAGCCCGCCCCTTCGTCTGATGATGAAAGCTGTCAGTCCCAGGCTGGTCGGAGGACTGAAGAGACACTTGGTCTCTTCCTCCTTGTAAGAAGGCTGGTGTGCGCGGAGGATGCATTACTGCCACCATTCTGATGGCGAGGGCAGCATCGGTGTGACAGCTCACAGCAGAGCGATTATAATCAGAGGGCGGGGGGCTTTTGATTCAGTCAGCTGGGCCCGCACCCCCGTTCTACCACACATTAGCTGCCATCCTGGGCACGTTGACTAGGCTTCCTCTCAAATGGGTCTGGCATTGCCCGCCACCTGGGCTGTTGTGAGGCACAAAAGAGCACGTGCCTGGAGTTCGAAGTGCCCCGCGGAGTGCACAGACAGCACCCGGTGACCGCGTTCTTGGTGGTGGTGGTGGGGTGGCTGTGGTGGTAATAGGCACGTGCTGAGATGCGTCACTCTCCCTTAAGAGCTTTGTACTGCCACCCCCTCCTTGAACCGCAGGATCAGTTGCAGCAGTGGGTCCGAGGCAACGTGAGCGCCTGCGCGAGCTCGATCTTCATATTTGACGAGATGGATAAGATGCACGCTGGCCTCATAGACGCCATCAAACCTTTCCTAGACTACTACGACCTGGTGGATGGCGTCTCTTATCAGAAAGCCATCTTCATCTTCCTCAGGTAAGGTTTCTACAGGTGGGGGGGTGGGGGTGGGGAGCCCGAGCCTGCGAGGGTTTCCCGAGAAAACCCAGCCCAGGTTCACCAGAATTCTTTTTGCAGCAATGCCGGAGCCGAGCGGATCACAGACGTGGCTCTGGACTTCTGGAGGAGTGGGAAGCAGAGGGAAGAAATCAAGCTCAAGGACATCGAGCACGCCTTGTCTGTGTCGGTCTTCAACAACAAGAACAGTAAGTGGGACTGCCGCTGCGCCTTGGTCAGAGAGCAGTCGGGCTAGTCAGAAAGGCAGGTCCACAGCCCTTTCTCCCCCGCTGGAGGAGCCCTGGTGGCTCCAAGAGTGGTTACAAGAGGGGCTGCTAACCACAAGGTCAACAGTTTGAAACCACCACCCCGTCCAAGGAAGTAAGATGAGGCTGTCTGCTCCCATAAAGAGCCGCCGTCTCAGAAACCCACAGGGGCAGCTCTACCCTGCCTTAAAGTGAATCAGGTACACGATGGCTGGAGGGGGGGTGGGCAGACAGGTGGGTAGGTGGATGAACAGCACCTTTTTCTTTTTCCCAGGCGGCTTCTGGCACAGCAGCTTGATCGACCGGAATCTCATCGATTACTTTGTCCCCTTCCTCCCACTGGAGTACAAGCACTTGAAGATGTGCATCCGCGTGGAAATGCAGTCTCGCGGTTATGAGGTCGACGAGGACATTGTGACCAAAGTGGCCGACGAGATGACCTTTTCCCCCAAAGAGGAGAGGGTTTTCTCTGACAAAGGCTGCAAAACTGTGTACACCAAGTTAGACTACTACTACGAGGACGACTGATGCCGCGGGCGGGAGCCTGTCTGCAGAAGCAGCAGCCGGACTGCAGCTGCCGCCCCGCCCGGGCCCTGGCAGGAACTCTCTGGGCACTGTTCTCACGGCTTGGAGTCTGCAGGCCCCTCCCGGCTCTGGACCCTGGGGCCGCCTCCAGAGCCTCAGAAGAAGGAGCCGGCCCCCCCCCAACCAGGACTTTTAAAAAATCATGTTTTAATGGCAATTGTTTCTGTTCCCAGGAAGGACGAGTTAAGTTTTACGGGAAAGATAACAACTTTATTTGCAAGGATTTTTAACACTGAGGAACTGCTCAGACTCGCAGTCTGTCGGCTCTGTGGTTTGTCTTGTTGGTGAAGTTGCTGGCGTCACTCCATGGTGTCTTTACCGGAAAAGCGCCGCCCAAGGTCACGACCTTGGTGTTTTCCTATAAGTTGACATCGCTGGAGACCGGCTGGAGCAGGGGACCAGATCTGTCCCTGGAAGGCCACAGGCAGCACGTCACGGGGCTCAGGCTCATCACAGCTCAGGTCTTAAATGTCTCGGGTACCATTTGACCCGAGCAGCGGGACTAGGCCTCCTGAGAAAAGTAGTCGCCAGTGCCCCGGCCCTTTCCTCCTTCCCACACACCATCTGTCTCTGTCCTGGATTCAGAATTGTGGTGGTTTTGCTCTCCGTCCAGACATTTGAAAGCTTCCGCTGTGATCCCTGGGTTTCCTCCTGGGACACCAAAACCTCCCCATGAAAGCTCAGCTGCCTCTCCTGAGGGTGTCGGGAACGCTGTTTTATTTACAAAGGCAAACAGCAACTTTAGCATAAAGTTGTATTTCTGTAATCTAATAACAAGCACCCCCTCCACCTTGTGTGTGCAAGTGCTGGACAACAGATGCCGTCAGGTTCGAAATCTCGGTCTTGGCTCAGCTCTCTAGCACATTGCTCAGTTAACAAAGGTCAAGGGTTACAAGTCATCCTCTTTCTCCCATGGAGCGTCTGGTGGGTTTGAACAGCTGACCTTGTTGGCAAGCCACCAGGGCTCCTGGGAGAAAGACTTTCTCCATAATGATGTGCCCTCCCACAAACTCACAGGGGCCATTCTGTGGTCTCCCAGGGTTGCTGAGTCAGAAGTGGCTCCATGGCAGTGGATTTGGGTTTTGGGGGGGAGGAGTGTTGAGCACCATGGAGACTCACTGGGTAAGACAGGGCAGAACTGCCCCTGTGAGTTTCCGAGACTACCTCTTTATGGAAATAGAAAGCCCGTCTTTCTACTGCAGAGCAGCTGGTGGTTTTGAACTGGTAACCTCTCAAGTTGGAGTGCACCAGGGCTCCTAGTAGTCCATTCTGACTTAGGGCAAGGAGGGAGGACACGCGGACAGAGGAGAACCGTGCTCCCATGGGGTTTTCGGTGCTGTGGCCTTTTGAAGTGGACCACCAGCATTCTCTCCCAAGGCGTCTTTGGTGGGGTTTGAGCACCCTTTTCATGAGGGCCCCTGAGCAGGAATGGGGTGACAGCAGTGGGTCCTGGACTTTCTGGGGTGGGTTGGTCATCAAGGGCTTAACCATTGGACTCCTGTAGACCAGACGCCTTGTTTTGTGGACCATGAGTGTGAATCCTAAACCGGGAGGGCAAGGCACGGAAGCCGGCTCAGCTGGGCTGACCCCGCTTCTGGCCTGACGGGGGGGCCCCCATCCAGGGAGCTCAATTTGAGGGCCAGCCAGACCGCCTGATGCCTGCAAGTGCCAGGAACGTATCAGTGTCTTCACCCTCTAGGCCTGTTGGCCTGAACTCTGCCGTCAGGTCTGGTCCCCCTTCCACTGGAAGATGAGTCCTGGCACCTGGGAGCACCCTGCTCCTAGCTTTTGTTTAGAAGGTTCCAGCTGTAGACACTATCCCATCAGGCTGGGAAAAGCCCTGGGAAGTCCCCATCGGGGGACGCAAGTCCCTTCTGAGAAATGAGGGTACCGGGCAGGATGATGGCAAAATGGGTGTAAGCTAAGGTGACCAGACGTCCCAATTTTTAACAATTCGTCCCGAGTCCTGTGGCGTTTTAAAAGTCCTGAAAGAATGCACGTTGGCTGCCATGTGGCTGTTTCACCTGGATATGTTTTATCAATGGTGACCCGCTTTACCGATGTTAAAATCTGGTCACCTTAGTGTACGTTTGCTAGCAAGTCAGCTTATCTTTAGTCCTGTGAAGGCCAGTGTTTGCCACTTCCCGACAGGGACGATGCCAGGCTGAGGGTCTGATGAAGCGGGTCTGGACTGCATGGTATTCACCACCTGTGGGCAGCAAGATCAGCGGTTCGATTTCCTGGGTCTGAGCTGGGCTCTTGGCTCTCAGGTCCAGAACATCTGAACCAGTCTCGTGCTCCTGTGTTTCAATTCCCTCCCAAGATTAATCTCAGGAGAACATATTTGTTAAAAGTCCAGTTGTTTCTAATGAAACCATTCGTCGTGTGATTCAATTTCAACTTGTTTGAGGATAACCCTACTGACTCCAGCTAATGTACAAGCTGCCCACTGAGGAGTCTAAGGTGGGCTAGTGTCACCCACAGTGTTAGAGCCTTTATTCAAGGTCAACGGTATTAAGTAGGCGAAAAGGAACAAGTTAGCAAGTTACACCTCCCACAATAGAATAAAATTTAGGCTTTATTACTTCATGTCCGATATCAGTTCAAGCTGGCTTGCTCTCACATGGGGTGGAGAGGACTGGGCCAGCGCCCACCACTGTGGCCTCTTAAAGTGACACGTCAGTACCGGCAGTCCAAAGGTGGCCAACACGTTGAGCGTGTTGCATCACCGTAAACACAGAGAACCTTGTCTCCTGGCCAAACACCCTAAAGGTTATAAAAGAATGAGCTCATCTCCATTTGAGAACTTTTCTCAAAATATTTGAAGTCTTGCTTTGGCATTCTCCCCACCCACCCACCCCCACCCCGGACTTAAGTTTGATACTGTATAAGGCATTTTCCATACTATAAAATCCCGTAGAAAGGGTACACACACTGTTGTGAATATGAGCCTGCAATTGTGGCAACTACAGGGTGGACACAGCTCACGCTGGCTGAAACATCCATCTTATTCCCAAGGAGCAGGGCCATCCAGCCATAGGGTGCCGCCTGTAGCTGATGACACCAGGTCCAGCCGCCACCACACAACTGCTGCAACAAGTTCGTGAGAAATGCCATCTTGTCATCCCTTGATTTTTTTCCCCCCACCACAAACTTTTTGAAGCCTCTTCTCCCAATCACACATTGACACTAAAAACCCATCCCATTTAAGAGTCCCCCGAGAATGGAACCAACCATCCAGATTTTTTAAAAATCAGCAACATCCTATGCTTCCATTATGTAAGACTGAGGTTAAAAAAATAAAACACAGCCCTGAAACCCCAGGCACTTGTGTAAGACACACGGCACACCCTGTGCTTTGGTGGTGTGGGACCCGGGGACTGAAGCAGGCCCTAGCTTCAGACACTGGTCACTGGAGGACAAACTCCCCACAGATTTCACACTGTCCCATGCAAAGACGGCCAAGGGCCTTTCGCCGTGGGGACGGAGGCCCTGAGTGCAGAGCCAGCAGTCTCCGACTGGCCCTCGTCCTGGTGTGGCCGGAAAGTCTAGCTGAGGGAAGTGCAGGGGCAGGTGCGGCCCAAGGAAGACCAGGGAGGAACCCACGGAGAAATGGATGTAAGCATCCCATGCCTCAGCCTGTTACCAGCAGCCAGAAAGCCCACATCCCCACCCCCACCCGCACACATTGGCCAATCGTGCTCGGGGGATAGGCCCACAGCCCGGGTGGAGACTGCCTGCACCCATTCTAACGCCAGCACTACAAGGGAGCCAATGGCCTCTGTCAAGAAGAGGTGAGGGATGGGAGGAGGGAAGAGGAGAAGGCTTTCAACAGGTGAGGCCCAAATGCCCCCCAGGGCACAGCAGGGCGGCCCTTGAACCCCTTCCACCCGAACACAACAGGTCCCAAGGTCAGTGCTGCATGGGGAATGCAATCCTAACCTTCCACTCACACAGTGGCACCCAAGGCACTTTTGTCAAAGTTCCAGCCGGAACTGTCAGGCTGCGAAACGGCAAGAGTGTCCAGCAGATCAGTGGCTTTGAAACCCAGCTCTTCCTTCAGAACTCCCTGAGCCTGAAAGCCCATTGTGCAAAATGTGCAGACCCCCAGAGAGGGATTCCAAAGTGCTTCCACGAGGCAAGGAGGGCCTGGTTTGCTGGTCTCCCATCCCTGTCGTCACCTCCCATCCGGATAAAGAAAGCTCAGTGAAAATCGAGCCGGGACTGCACAGTCTTGCAGCCCTTGTCCGAGTAGATTTTCTCGTCTTTCGGGAAGAATGTCATTTCCTCGGCCACCCTGGTGACGACGTCTTCATCGACGGTCATGCCGCGGGCCTTCATTTCTGCCCGCACACACATCTTCACGTGCCGGTACTCCAGCGGCAGGAAGGGGATGTAGTAGTCGATGAGGTTTTTGTCTATCAGGCCACTGTGCCACAGGCCACCTGCAAAATGGGACACAGCGGGGGTTCCCACCCATTCGCTGGCCCTTGGAG